CAGAAATATCTCAGAAATACCTTATTAATATAGTTTTATCTCATTAAAGCCATTATTTCTCACCTCACCTCATTCCTGCCATTATATCCACACCACTGAATTGTAAATCACAGAGTTACAGCCCTGCTCCTGTGCCAGGTAAGTTCACTACGGGCTCACCATAGCCCGTGCTACTTGGACCTTCTTGTTCCAAGTAGCTGAATCTAAAACAACAACAACAACAACAGCATTTTAAAGCCACACCTGACGCCAGTTACGGGATATTCATGCCCGTGCCACCTCCTGGGGTGGCTTAATCTTCATCAGTCAATCTTGTAAATCCATCTGTATAAATCCAATCAAATATATATATACATATATATATATATATATATATATATATATATATATATATATATATATATATATATATATATATATATATATATATATATATATATATATATATATATATGTCGTACCTAATAGCCAGAACGCACTTCTCAGCCTACTATTCAAGGCCCGATTTGCCTAATAAGCCAAGTTTTCATGAATTAATGTTTTTTCGTCTACCTAACCTATCTAACCTAACCTAACCTAGCTTTTTTTGGCTACCTAACCTAACCTTACCTATAAATATAGGTTAGGTTAGGTTAGGTAGGGTTGGTTAGGTTCGGTCATATATCTACGTTAATTTTAACTCCAATAAAAAAAAATTGACCTCATACATAGAGAAAAGGGTTGCTTTATCATTTCATAAGAAAAAAATTATAGTAAATATATTAATTCAGGAAAACTTGGCTTATTAGGCAAATCGGGCCTTGAATTGTAGGCTGAGAAGTGAGTTCTGGCTATTAGGTACGACATATATATATATATATATATATATATATATATATATATATATATATATATATATATATATATATATATATATATATATATATATATGCATATATATATCATATATATCATATATATATATATATATTTATATATATATATATATATATATATATATATATATATATATATATATATATATATATATATTAGTATATTTTGGTAGCAGTCTTTCCTGTAGACATATATTATTAAATATGACCGAAAAAGTAAGATTAATAATTCTAACACGAATTTTCTCAATCTTTCGTACATTACGCTTCACTGTTGGAGGTAAATCAAAAATCACTTCTCCAAAATTCATTTTTATTTCTAGTCTGACGCGACACGGGCGCGTTTCGTAAAACTTATTACATTTTCAAAGACTTCACAAATACACAACTGATTAGAACTTACGTATCTCCGATTTTATATCTACATTTGAGTGAGGTGGGAGGGGTGATGTGGCATTAACACAAGACAGAACAAGAGGGGATATTAATAGGGTATTAAAAGTATCAACACAAGACAGAACAGAAACAATGGGTATTGAATAGAAGTGTTTGTAGAAAGCCTATTGGTCCATATTTCTTGATGCTTCTATATTGGAGCGGAGTCTTGAGGTGGGTAGAATATAGTTGTGCAATAGTTGGCTGTTGATTGCTGGTGTTGACTTCTTGATGTGTAGTGCCTCGCAAACGTCAAGCCGCCTGCTATCGCCGTATCTATCGATGATTTCTGTGTTGTTTACTAGGATTTCTCTGGCGATGGTTTGGTTGTGGGAAGAGATTATATGTTCCTTAATGGAGCCCTGTTGCTTATGCATCGTTAAACGCCTAGAAAGAGATGTTGTTGTCTTGCCTATATACTGGGTTTTTTGGAGCTTACAGTCCCCAAGTGGGCATTTGAAGGCATAGACGACGTTAGTCTCTTTTAAAGCGTTCTGTTTTGTGTCTGGAGAGTTTCTCATGAGTAGGCTGGCCGTTTTTCTGGTTTTATAGTAAATCGTCAGTTGTATCCTCTGATTTTTGTCTGTAGGGATAACGTTTCTATTAACAATATCTTTCAGGACCCTTTCCTCCGTTTTATGAGCTGTGGAAAAGAAGTTCCTGTAAAATAGTCTAATAGGGGGTATAGGTGTTGTGTTAGTTGTCTCTTCAGAGGTTGCATGGCTTTTCACTTTCCTTCTTATGATGTCTTCGATGAAACCATTGGAGAAGCCGTTATTGACTAGGACCTGCCTTACCCTACAGAGTTCTTCGTCGACTTGCTTCCATTCTGAGCTGTGGCTGAGAGCACAATCTCATAATCATAATCTCTTCCCACAACCAAACCATCGCCAGAGAAATCCTAGTAAACAACACAGAAATCATCGATAGATACGGCGATAGCAGGCGGCTTGACGTTTGCGAGGCACTACACATCAAGAAGTCAACACCAGCAATCAACAGCCAACTATTGCACAACTATATTCTACCCACCTCAAGACTCCGCTCCAATATAGAAGCATCAAGAAATATGGACCAATAGGCTTTCTACAAACACTTCTATTCAATACCCATTGTTTCTGTTCTGTCTTGTGTTGATACTTTTAATACCCTATTAATATCCCCTCTTGTTCTGTCTTGTGTTAATGCCACATCACCCCTCCCACCTCACTCAAATGTAGATATAAAATCGGAGATACGTAAGTTCTAATCAGTTGTGTATTTGTGAAGTCTTTGAAAATGTAATAAGTTTTACGAAACGCGCCCGTGTCGCGTCAGACTAGAAATAAAAATGAATTTTGGAGAAGTGATTTTTGATTTACCTCCAACAGTGAAGCGTAATGTACGAAAGATTGAGAAAATTCGTGTTAGAATTATTAATCTTACTTTTTCGGTCATATTTAATAATATATATATATATATATATATATATATATATATATATATATATATATATATATATAACTGAAAACTCACACCCCAGAAGTGACTCGAACCCATACTCCCACAACTGGTATGTACAGGGACGCCTTAATCCGCTTGACCATCACGACCGGACAAAAGGAAGTGATAGCCGAGGCTATATGAACCACTTCCCCGCCGGCACTCGGATGGTAATCTTGGGCATAGCATTTTATCAAATCACCTCATTCTTTGGGGCACACGTGAGGAACACAAATGCAAACAAGCCTGAATGGTCCCCAGGACTATATACAACTGAAAACTCACACCCCAGAAGTGACTCGAACCCATACTCCCACAACTGGTATGTACAGGGACGCCTTAATCCGCTTGACCATCACGACCGGACAAAAGGAAGTGATAGCCGAGGCTATATGAACCACTTCCCCGCCGGCACTCGGATGGTAATCTTGGGCATAGCATTTTATCAAATCACCTCATTCTTTGGGGCACACGTGAGGAACACAAATGCAAACAAGCCTGAATGGTCCCCAGGACTATATACAACTGAAAACTCACACCCCAGAAGTGACTCGAACCCATACTCCCACAACTGGTATGTACAGGGACGCCTTAATCCGCTTGACCATCACGACCGGACAAAAGGAAGTGATAGCCGAGGCTATATGAACCACTTCCCCGCCGGCACTCGGATGGTAATCTTGGGCATAGCATTTTATCAAATCACCTCATTCTTTGGGGCACACGTGAGGAACACAAATGCAAACAAGCCTGAATGGTCCCCAGGACTATATACAACTGAAAACTCACACCCCAGAAGTGACTCGAACCCATACTCCCACAACTGGTATGTACAGGGACGCCTTAATCCGCTTGACCATCACGACCGGACAAAAGGAAGTGATAGCCGAGGCTATATGAACCACTTCCCCGCCGGCACTCGGATGGTAATCTTGGGCATAACATTTTATCAAATCACCTCATTCTTTGGGGCACACGTGAGGAACACAAATGCAAACAAGCCTGAATGGTCCCCAGGACTATATACAACTGAAAACTCACACCCCAGAAGTGACTCGAACCCATACTCCCACAACTGGTATGTACAGGGACGCCTTAATCCGCTTGACCATCACGACCGGACAAAAGGAAGTGATAGCCGAGGCTATATGAACCACTTCCCCGCCGGCACTCGGATGGTAATCTTGGGCATAGCATTTTATCAAATCACCTCATTCTTTGGGGCACACGTGAGGAACACAAATGCAAACAAGCCTGAATGGTCCCCAGGACTATATACAACTGAAAACTCACACCCCAGAAGTGACTCGAACCCATACTCCCACAACTGGTATGTACAGGGACGCCTTAATCCGCTTGACCATCACGACCGGACAAAAGGAAGTGATAGCCGAGGCTATATGAACCACTTCCCCGCCGGCACTCGGATGGTAATCTTGGGCATAGCATTTTATCAAATCACCTCATTCTTTGGGGCACACGTGAGGAACACAAATGCAAACAAGCCTGAATGGTCCCCAGGACTATATACAACTGAAAACTCACACCCCAGAAGTGACTCGAACCCATACTCCCACAACTGGTATGTACAGGGACGCCTTAATCCGCTTGACCATCACGACCGGACAAAAGGAAGTGATAGCCGAGGCTATATGAGTTTTCAGTTGTATATAGTCCTGGGGACCATTCAGGCTTGTTTGCATTTGTGTTCCTCACGTGTGCCCCAAAGAATGAGGTGATTTGATAAAATGCTATGCCCAAGATTACCATCCGAGTGCCGGCGGGGAAGTGGTTCATATAGCCTCGGCTATCACTTCCTTTTGTCCGGTCGTGATGGTCAAGCGGATTAAGGCGTCCCTGTACATACCAGTTGTGGGAGTATGGGTTCGAGTCACTTCTGGGGTGTGAGTTTTCAGTTGTATATAGTCCTGGGGACCATTCAGGCTTGTTTGCATTTGTGTTCCTCACGTGTGCCCCAAAGAATGAGGTGATTTGATAAAATGCTATGCCCAAGATTACCATCCGAGTGCCGGCGGGGAAGTGGTTCATATAGCCTCGGCTATCACTTCCTTTTGTCCGGTCGTGATGGTCAAGCGGATTAAGGCGTCCCTGTACATACCAGTTGTGGGAGTATGGGTTCGAGTCACTTCTGGGGTGTGAGTTTTCAGTTGTATATAGTCCTGGGGACCATTCAGGCTTGTTTGCATTTGTGTTCCTCACGTGTGCCCCAAAGAATGAGGTGATTTGATAAAATGCTATGCCCAAGATTACCATCCGAGTGCCGGCGGGGAAGTGGTTCATATAGCCTCGGCTATCACTTCCTTTTGTCCGGTCGTGATGGTCAAGCGGATTAAGGCGTCCCTGTACATACCAGTTGTGGGAGTATGGGTTCGAGTCACTTCTGGGGTGTGAGTTTTCAGTTGTATATAGTCCTGGGGACCATTCAGGCTTGTTTGCATTTGTGTTCCTCACGTGTGCCCCAAAGAATGAGGTGATTTGATAAAATGCTATGCCCAAGATTACCATCCGAGTGCCGGCGGGGAAGTGGTTCATATAGCCTCGGCTATCACTTCCTTTTGTCCGGTCGTGATGGTCAAGCGGATTAAGGCGTCCCTGTACATACCAGTTGTGGGAGTATGGGTTCGAGTCACTTCTGGGGTGTGAGTTTTCAGTTGTATATAGTCCTGGGGACCATTCAGGCTTGTTTGCATTTGTGTTCCTCACGTGTGCCCCAAAGAATGAGGTGATTTGATAAAATGCTATGCCCAAGATTACCATCCGAGTGCCGGCGGGGAAGTGGTTCATATAGCCTCGGCTATCACTTCCTTTTGTCCGGTCGTGATGGTCAAGCGGATTAAGGCGTCCCTGTACATACCAGTTGTGGGAGTATGGGTTCGAGTCACTTCTGGGGTGTGAGTTTTCAGTTGTATATAGTCCTGGGGACCATTCAGGCTTGTTTGCATTTGTGTTCCTCACGTGTGCCCCAAAGAATGAGGTGATTTGATAAAATGCTATGCCCAAGATTACCATCCGAGTGCCGGCGGGGAAGTGGTTCATATAGCCTCGGCTATCACTTCCTTTTGTCCGGTCGTGATGGTCAAGCGGATTAAGGCGTCCCTGTACATACCAGTTGTGGGAGTATGGGTTCGAGTCACTTCTGGGGTGTGAGTTTTCAGTTGTATATAGTCCTGGGGACCATTCAGGCTTGTTTGCATTTGTGTTCCTCACGTGTGCCCCAAAGAATGAGGTGATTTGATAAAATGCTATGCCCAAGATTACCATCCGAGTGCCGGCGGGGAAGTGGTTCATATAGCCTCGGCTATCACTTCCTTTTGTCCGGTCGTGATGGTCAAGCGGATTAAGGCGTCCCTGTACATACCAGTTGTGGGAGTATGGGTTCGAGTCACTTCTGGGGTGTGAGTTTTCAGTTGTATATAGTCCTGGGGACCATTCAGGCTTGTTTGCATTTGTGTTCCTCACGTGTGCCCCAAAGAATGAGGTGATTTGATAAAATGCTATGCCCAAGATTACCATCCGAGTGCCGGCGGGGAAGTGGTTCATATAGCCTCGGCTATCACTTCCTTTTGTCCGGTCGTGATGGTCAAGCGGATTAAGGCGTCCCTGTACATACCAGTTGTGGGAGTATGGGTTCGAGTCACTTCTGGGGTGTGAGTTTTCAGTTGTATATAGTCCTGGGGACCATTCAGGCTTGTTTGCATAAAGAATGAGGTGATTTTGATAAAATGCTATGCCCAAGATTACCATCCGAGTGCCGGCGGGGAAGTGGTTCATATAGCCTCGGCTATCACTTCCTTTTGTCCGGTCGTGATGGTCAAGCGGATTAAGGCGTCCCTGTACATACCAGTTGTGGGAGTATGGGTTCGAGTCACTTCTGGGGTGTGAGTTTTCAGTTGTATATAGTCCTGGGGCACCATTCAGGCTTGTTTGCATTTGTGTTCCTCACGTGTGCCCCAAAGAATGAGGTGATTGATAAATGCTATGCCCAAGATTACCATCCGAGTGCCGGCGGGGAAGTGGTTCATATAGCCTCGGCTATCACTTCCTTTTGTCCGGTCGTGATGGTCAAGCGGATTAAGGCGTCCCTGTACATACCAGTTGTGGGAGTATGGGTTCGAGTCACTTCTGGGGTGTGAGTTTTCAGTTGTATATAGTCCTGGGGACCATTCAGGCTTGTTTGCATTTGTGTTCCTCACGTGTGCCCCAAAGAATGAGGTGATTTGATAAAATGCTATGCCCAAGATTACCATCCGAGTGCCGGCGGGGAAGTGGTTCATATAGCCTCGGCTATCACTTCCTTTTGTCCGGTCGTGATGGTCAAGCGGATTAAGGCGTCCCTGTACATACCAGTTGTGGGAGTATGGGTTCGAGTCACTTCTGGGGTGTGAGTTTTCAGTTGTATATAGTCCTGGGGACCATTCAGGCTTGTTTGCATATATATATATATATATATATATATATATATATATATATATATATATATATATATATATATATATATTATATATATCATATATATCATAGAGTCATATATATATATATATATATATATATATATATATATATATATATCCTCCTCCTTATATATATATATAATATATATATATATATATATATATATATATATATATATATATATATCTATATATATATATATATATATATATATATATATATATATATATATATATATATATATAATATATATATATATATATATATATATATATATATAATATTAGATAACGTTATTTCTTTTCCAGGGTTCTACCTTTACATGCTGGTTGTCAAAACCTTCTCCGTAGAGAACATAAAGCTTCGTGTCTACACTCTGATTGGTTGGGGTAAGTAGTCCTCCTCAATCTCCGTTTTCTATAACCTAAACCAAAACATTCAGCCCAGAGATTCCTCCAAAGCGACAACTAAACTAATCCTCACTGCTAGTTACTCCCAAGTCAAATTATTGCATAAATTGCAATAAACACAGCGTTTGGGGAACTGATTGTGCATGTATCTAGTGTTTAGTAATTACTTTGGAGTATACTGTATACACCAAGAGGTATACACGCCTTGGTGTATGTACACTGGGAGAAGCAGGAGGATATAGAGAGGATACAAAGGCAGCAAGGTATACTTGCTAGAGGCAGGAGGGATATACTTGGTAGGGAGAACCAGGAGGGCATACTTACTAGAGAAGCAAGAGAGAGTATATTGCTGGAGAAGCAGGAAGGTATACTTGGTAGATAGGAGTATAGCATACTTGGCGGGGAAGTAGGACGTTATACTTGGCAGGGAAGCAGGAGGGCATATTTATTAGTGGCACGAGGGTATACTTAATATAGAGGCACGATGGTATATATATATAGAGGGGCAAGATAGTATACTTGCTAGAGGCAAGAGAATATATTTGAGAGATGCAATGGAGTATATTTGTGAGAGATGCAATGGAGTATATTTGTTAAAGACAGAGAGAGAGAGAGAGACAGAGAGAGAGAGAGAGAGAGAGAGAGAGAGAGAGAGACATACTCGAGAAAGACATCAAGGTATACTTGATAGAGTTAGCTATCAGGTAAATTTGTTTTACACTATTATACACATATTATGACCCATTGAATAATAGGTCATATATAATGGGACATATACAGCCACTGTTATATAACAAGCACATCTACATATAGCAAATAATTTGAAGGGAATTAATAGCATGTTTTGCCATTAAGTTGATAAACTCATCAAAAAGCATCAATAGGTCTCGCAAGGTCATAGGCAGTATTGTAAACTTATGTAAACAAGGCCAAGAGGTCTCATTAGGTAATGACGAAGCGTGATGATCTTTCATTTGTCAATATTAAAGTGCATCTGCCAGTCTCTTGACCATTTCAAAACTCTCTCTAGATCGCCCTTGAAGTGATTTTAAGTCTTCAGAGTACATTTCCCGCCAGATTTTCGTATCGTCACAAATTTGCAAAGAACAGAGGTCCCAGGACAGATCTTTGAGGCACTCCACTCGCAACAGCTTCCCATTCTGACTTAACTCCATTTATTCTAACTTTTTGTTTCCTTTGGTATAACCACAAGATAACCTCAAGATAACCTCAAGATAACCATGGCCTAACCAACTTAAGATAACACCTCCAAATCCGTGGACCTTTATATTTTATTTATTTTATATATATATATATATATATATATATATATATATATATATATATATATATATATATATATATATATATATATATATACATACATACATACATACATACATACATACATACATACATACATACATACATACATACATATATACTTTAAGTTTTTAAGTAATGTGTTTATATTCTCTACAGGTATTCCAGTTCCTATTATAATTACGTGGGTCATCTTAAAGTCTCATCTCACTATCACTCATGTGAGTATTGTGTTGGTTAAGTACATGTTGTGAGTGTGTGTTGTATGTGTACATCCCCCCCTTGTGTGTGTTGTATGTGTACATCCCCCTTGTGTGTGTTGTATGTGTACATCCCCCGTGTGTGTGTGTTGTATGTGTACATCCCCCGTGTGTGTGTGTTGTACGTGTACATCCCCCGTGTGTGTGTTGTATGTGTACATCCCCCGTGTGTGTGTTGTATGTGTACATCCCCCGTGTGTGTGTTGTATGTGTACATCCCCCGTGTGTGTGTTGTATGTGTACATCCCCGTGTGTGTGTTGTATGTGTACATCCCCCGTGTGTGTGTTGTATGTGTACATCCCCCGTGTGTGTGTGTTGTATGTGTACATCCCCCGTGTGTATGTGTTGTATGTGTACATCCCCCGTGTATGTGTTGTATGTGTACATCCCCCGTGTATGTGTTGTATGTGTACATCCCCCGTGTGTGTGTGTTGTATGTGTACATCCCCCGTGTGTGTGTTGTATGTGTACATCCCCCGTGTGTGTGTTGTATGTGTACATCCCCCGTGTGTGTTTGTTGTATGTGTACATCCCCCGTGTGTGTGTTGTATGTGTACATCCCCCATGTGTGTTTGTTGTATGTGTACATCCCCCGTGTGTGTGTTGTATGTGTACATTCCCCGTGTGTGTTTGTTGTATGTGTACATCCCCCGTGTGTGTGTGTTGTATGTGTACATCCCCCATGTGTGTTTGTTGTATGTGTACATCCCCCGTGTGTGTGTGTTGTATGTGTACATCCCCCATGTGTGTTTGTTGTATGTGTACATCCCCCGTGTGTGTGTTGTATGTGTACATCCCCCGTGTGTGTGTGTTGTATGTGTACATCCCCCGTGTGTGTGTTGTATGTGTACATCCCCCGTGTGTGTTTGTTGTATGTGTACATCCCCCGTGTGTGTGTTGTATGTGTACATCCCCCATGTGTGTTTGTTGTATGTGTACATCCCCCGTGTGTGTGTGTTGTATGTGTACATCCCCCGTGTGTGTGTGTTGTATGTGTACATCCCCCGTGTGTGTGTTGTATGTGTACATCCCCCGTGTGGGTGTTGTATGTGTACATCCCCCGTGTGTGTGTTGTATGTGTACATCACCCGTGTATGTGTGTTGTATGTGTACATCCCCCTCGTGTGTGTGTTGTTTGTGTACATCCCCCGTGTGTGTGTTGTATGTGTACATCCCCCGTGTGTGTGTGTTGTATGTGTACATCCCCCGTGTGTGTGTTGTATGTGTACATCCCCCGTGTGTGTGTTGTATGTGTACATCCCCCGTGTGTGTGTGTTGTATGTGTACATCCCCCATGTGTGTGTTGTATGTGTACATCCCCCGTGTATGTGTAGTATGTGTACATCCACGTGTGTGTTAATTCTCCTTTCCCTCATTCTCTTCCTTTTCCGTAGACTCGTTAGATCTCTCTCTACTAACTATTCCCTCTCTCTTTCTGTTCCACCAGTCTGGGACGGAGTTGGCGGCGGTGGGGATGGAGAAGTATGAACTGGATGGTCCGGACTTGGAGGGACTGGTGAGGAACTGTCCGCTCATGCCTGACAGTGGGATAGACTGGATACAGAAGGTGCCCGTCCTCTTCGTCCTGTCCACCAACCTCATCTTTCTCACACGCATCATGTGGGTGAGTATGAGTAGCAGCGGCTGGCAGGGCTGGTTGACAGGAGGGATGGTTGACAGGGGGGGATGGTTGACAGGGGGGATGGTTGACAGGGAGGCTGGTTGACAGGGAGGCTGGTTGACAGGGGGGATGGTTGACAGGGGGGCTGGTTGACAGGGGGGGCTGGTTGACAGGGGGGATGGTTGACAGGGGGATGGTTGACAGGGAGGCTGGTTGACAGGGGGCTGGTTGACAGGGGGGATGGTTGACAGGGGGGATGGTTGACAGGGGGGGGGATGGTTAACAGGGAGGATGGTTGACAGGAGGGATGGTTGACAGGGAGGCTGGTTGACAGGGGGCTGGTTGACAGGGAGGCTGGTTGACAAGGAGGCTGGTTGACAGGGGGGCTGGTTGACAGGGGGGCTGGTTGACAGGGAGGCTGGTTGACAGGGGAGCTGGTTGACAGGGGGGATGGTTGACAGGGGGGGATGGTTGACAGGGAGGCTGGTTGACAGGGGGGATGGTTGACAGGGAGGCTGGTTGACAGGGAGGCAGGTTGACAGGGAGGCTGGTTGACAGGGGGGCTGGTTGACAGGGAGGCAGGTTGACAGGGAGGCAGGCTGACAGAGAGACAGGTTAACATATAAGCAAGCTAACAGATGCCAACAGTTGTTAGATGACTGACAGCTACAGATGACTGACAGGCAGGTGAATGAAATGCACCTCACGTCGCTGGAAGACAAGAGAGCTCGGCGAGACATAATCACTACCTACAAAATTCTCAGAGGAATTGACAAGATAAATAAAGAAAAACTGCTTAACACGGGTGCTACGTGAACCAGAGGACACAGGTGGAAACTGAGCACCCAAATGAGCCACAGAGACGTTACAAAGACCTTTTCCAGTGTCAGAGTAGTTAACAGACGGAATGCATTAGGCAGTAATGCGGTGGAGGCTGACTCCATACACAGCTTCAAGTATACATATGATGAGCGCCCAGTAGGCTCAGGAATCTGAATACCAGTTGATTGACAGTTGAGAGGCGGGACCAAAGAGCCAGAGCTCAACCCCCCTGCAAGCACATCTAGGTTAGTATACATACACTCACTAACGACATCTACTCACGTAATCACCGTAACGAGTTCACACCTTAATTACTTAGCGTCGAGGTTGTTCCCTGTTCCGTAAGCGCCTGCTGTTACTCGGAGAGACGTCTACACTCACGAGCCCTAACTGCTCCTTAATTACTTATACCCACTCGTTAAGGAACGATTGTTAAGTATTTACCACAATATACATTAAATGTTCTACATACACTAAATTACTGTATTGTATCCGATGCCCCGAGATTATGTATTTCCTCTACATGTGTATAAATTGTTCCTCGGGGGATATATATATACATAAAGGGTCATTATACATAAAGGGTCATCATACATAAAGGGTCATTATACATAAAGGGTCATTATACATAAAGGGTCATCGTACATAAAGGGTCATCATACATAAAGGGTTCATCATACATAAACTTTCATTATACATAAAGGGTCATCATACATAAAGGGTCATCATACATAAAGGGTCATCATACATAAAGGGTTCATCATACATAAACTTTCATTATACATAAAGGGTCATCATACATAAAGGGTCATCATACATAAAGGCTCATCATACATAAAGGGTCATCATACATAAAGGGTCATCATACATAAAGGGTCATCATACATAAAGGGTCATCATACATAAAGGGTTCATCATACATAAAGGGTCATCATACATAAAGGGTTCATCATACATAGAGGGTCATCATACATAAAGGGTCATCATACATAAAGGGTTCATCATACATAAAGGGTCATCATACATAAAGGGTCATCATACATAAAGGATTCACCATACATAAAGGGTCGTCATACATAAAGGCTCATCATACATAAAGGGCCATCATACATAAAGGGTCATCATACATAGAGGGTCATTATACATAAAGGGTCATCATACATAAAGGGTCATCATACATAAAGGGTTCATCATACATAGAGGGTCATCATACATAAAGGGTCATCATACATAAAGGGTTCACCATACATAAAGGGTTCATCATACATAAAGGGTCATCATACATAAATACACGCATTATTCTTAAACATTTGTTGAGTACGTATGCTGTAACTCAAAATGTATACAGCCTCAAGGAGGTATACTCGAAGTATACACTATGTATACCTCGCTACTATGTGTATGTATTCTCTGAGAGTTTACTGTAGTCCTGGTCAATAATCAGGACAAAAGTATACCTGCTGGCTGGTCACCTAAGCTGTTGTGGTGGACTTAATAACCCTCCAGAGGTTAGAACCATTGGAGACTCGAACCCGGGCCCACGAAAGACGAGACTGCCTTTTGAGATCCTCTCTTATTGTCGAGAGCTCGTGGGCTGCTTGGTAACATGATCGTCTCGTCTTTTGTGGCCCCGGGTTCGATTCTCAGTTCAAGTGAACATAATATTATCACCCCTCGCTATTGTGGTTATTTATATACATATATATATATATATATATATATATATATATATATATATATATATATATATATATATATATATATATATATATATATATATATATATGGTACTTATTAGGCAAAGTTGCCTAACAAGACGAATTTTCGTGAAATATTATATATTTTTAAATTTCCTTATGGGATGATGAAGTTTAGTACACACAGTATTTTAGTACACACAATAGTATTTATGAGGGTCTCCAGCTGCTGGACACCCTTTCTGACCAGGAGAGTGGCTGTGTTGACGGCTTCAGGGTGGTTACTGCAAGAGTCAGGGACTCTTAAAGTTCTTCTAAGGTCCTTAGTTGCTTCACATTTCAGGAAATAGTCAAGTAGTGACTTATCTGTGATTGTTTGGCAGAAGATGCATTCCTTCTGGCGGGGTTCACCAATCTCCCAGTTGCATCTGTAACCTAGACGTAGTCTATATAAAACCGAACTGCTTTGTTGACCAGACCACACACTAGAAGTTGAAGGGACGACGACGTTTCGGTCCGTCCTGGACCATTCTCAAGTCGACTTGAGAATGGTCCAGGACGGACCGAAACGTCGTCGTCGTCCCTTCATCTTCTAGCGTGTGGTCTGGTCAACATTCTTCAGCCACGTTACTGTGCCTCATCGCCTGTGTGTGACCTGTCCTCCAGGTACTGATCACGAAGCTACGCTCAGCCAACACGGTGGAGACGCAGCGGTACCGCAAGGCCACGAAGGCGCTGCTGGTGTTAATACCGCTGCTCGGCCTTACCTACATGCTGCTCATCGCCCTCCCTCAGGAGCTGGAACACGTCAGGGCCATACTCCTCTCCACTCAGGTAACTCTCCACTCACAAGTACATTCTCCACTAATCAACACAGATTACAAGTATCATTATTATTGATTTGCAATACTGATCTGATTTGGATTGATTTGCAATGATTTGGATTGATTTGCAATGATTTGCAATGATTTGGATTGATTTGCAATGATTTGCAATGATTTGATTATTGATTTGCAATGTTGATCAAGGGTCTATACGATTGTTGCTAACTGGTTCATGTTCCCTGAACTGCTGCTGCTGCTGCTGCTGCTGCTGCTGCTGCTGTGCACTCTGCAGGGGTTCTGGGTGGCGCTGTTCTACTGTTTCCTCAACAGCGAAGTGCAGAACAGCATACGGCACCACATCGAGCGGTGGAAGACAGCCAGAGGCTTGGGCGACCCCAGGAGTGCGTCTGTCAGACAATGTCGTGATGGTTCCCCGCGACCCAGGACTGATTGTTCCAGGTCAGCCTCCACCACTCACTGTACTCACCTCACTGTACTCACCTCAGTGTACTCATCTAGATGTGCTCGTCTAGATGTACTTACCCATATGTGCTCATCTAGATGTACTCACCCATGTGTATTCATCTAAATGTACTCATTCACTTGTACTCACCTAGACGTAGTCATCCATTTCTACTCATCTAGATGTACTCACTCACATGCACTCATCTAGATGTACTCACCCACTTGTACTCACCTAGATGTAATCACCCACATATACTCACCTAGATGTAGTCACCCACATGTACTCACCTAGATGTAATCACCCCACATGTACTCATCTAGATGTACTCACCTAGAGGTGATTGCAGGAACGAGTTCGAATCTTCCGAACGGTCTTGGTTACACATGAAATGACTAATTTCACAATTTTTTTCCATATTTCCCTTTACAAGTGTGCATCATTGAGTGACCCTCAAGTCTCTGTTAGTCCATCCTATTGCACTTATTTGCTAATACTGCAACTGTTCTTCCCGTTATTTTAGTGAGACATCTGTGTCTCCAGCTTCCATCTATGCATCGCTGTTCACAGCTTTGGCCAGTGCTGCTTTTTCTAGAGTGTCACTTGTTTTAGAATCTTGTATGTCGTTATCATTTCCACTATGCCTTCTCTAGTGTTCTTCAGACCTGTTCGCTTTGTTAACCTGATGTGTGTGTGTGTGTTTGTGTGTGTGTGTGTGTGTGTGTGTGTGTGTGTGTGTGTGTGTGTGTGTGTGTGTGTGTGTACTCACCTATTTGTGCTTGCGGGGGTTGAGCTCTGGCTCTTTGATCCCGCCTCTCAACTGTCAATCAACTGGTGTACAGATTCCTGAGCCTACTGGGCTCCATCATATCTACATTTAAAACTGTGTATGGAGTCAGCCTCCACCACATCACTGCCTAATGTATGTGTGTGTGTGTGTGTGTGTGTGTGTGTGTGTGTGTGTGTGTGTGTGTGTGTGTGTGTGTGTGTGTGTGTGTGTGTGTGTGTGTGTGTGTGTCCTTACCTATCAGTGTTTACTGGGGCTCTTCCTACTAGTCTTGTATCTATTACGTTTCATTTCAACGATCTTGACGTTCAAATTCATTGTTGAAACTGGTGTCAGAGTTGTGGATGGAGGTGGCTTCCATCACTTCCTCTCTTAGAGCATTTCACATGTTAACTGCCCCACACAGGGGACGAGTATTTCCTTACGTTCCTTCGGCTCATTTACTTTTCCAGTTTCCACCTGTGTCCTCTTGTACTGCTTTCTCTCAATCTGAAAAGGCTGTCCCTGTCTATCTCGACTATTCCTCTCAGTATCTTGAATGTTGTGACCATATCCCTCTCTATTCCTTCTATCCTCTGAGGTTATGAGATTTAGTTACATTAGCTTATCTTTGTAGCTTAACCCTCTTAGCTCTGGCACTCTTGTCGCAAATCTTTGTAAATTTTTCAGTATTGGCTTTATGCGTCACACGATACGAATTCCATGCTGGTGCTGCATATTCCAGTATTGGTCTGACGAATGTTGTGTAGACCGCCTTGGAGGAGTCCTGCTTCAGGTTTCTAAGCAATGCTCTTATATTTGATTGCAGCGTCCCATATGCTGCCGATGGTATCCTGTTTATGTGTGCCGCCGGAGTGAGTCTGTGCACTACATCCACTCCCAGACACAGGGAGTGATTACACACAGAGATCACACTAACGTGATGCATCAAATGAACAAATCCACAAGGGCCGTGACGAGGATTCGAACCTGCGTCCGGGAGCATCCCAGACGCTGCCTTAATCGACTGAGCTACGACAGGGTAAGAGGGAAGAACGGCCTATTGACATAGCTCGGGTGCAGGGGGGGGGGAGTTGTGTAAAAGCCCGGTTTGTGCCTCGGAGAGGCTACGGGATCCAGTAAGTTCAGTGGAACTTCGGTTTCAACCCTTTTACCCTGTCGTAGCCCAGTCGATTAAGGCAGTGTCTGGGATGCTCCCGGACGCAGGTTCGAATCCTCGTCACGGCCCTTGTGGATTTGTTCAGGGAGTGATTAATTATAGTCATTAATGAACCATTATAATCCTACTGACTTTGCGTTTTCCCCCTGATAATTCCTTCCCTCCCGTCCAAAAGCATGTCGAGTGATGACGCAACTGCTCGTAAGAAACTCTGCCCATTTGTTTCCGCCTCCACTGGGGATCGAACCCGGAACCTCAGGACTACGAATCCGAAGCGCTGTCCACTCAGCTGTCTCCCCTCTAGTGTCGCTGTAGAGTCACTTCCCGTACTCTTTGCCGGGAATTCAGTCCCCTAACTTCTAGAGGATCAGTCTTGTAGCTAAACCTCTAAATTATGTTGTTATAGGTGAGGGGGTTCCACGCCAGTGCCGCATACTCCGGTCATATATATATATATATATATATATATATATATATATATATATATATATATATATATATATATATATATATATATATATATATATATATATATATATATATATATATATATATATAGTTATCTTGATATTCTTGAGGTTATCTTGAGATGATTTCGGGGCTTTAGTGTCCCCGCGGCCCGGTCCTCGACCAGGCCTCCACCCCCAAGAAGCAGCCCGTGACAGCTGACTAACACCCAGGTACCTATTTTACTGCTAGGTAACAGGGGGCATAGGGTGAAAGAAACTCTGAACCATTGCTTCTCGCCGGCGCCTGGGATCGAACCCAGGATCACAAGTCCAGCGTGTTGTCCGCTCGGCCGACCGGCTCCTGGTATGTACAGGAATGCGAGGCTGTGTACGTGCGTACAGAAGGAGCCAACTTGGTGTACTGGTCAGGACCATTGCAACACACTGTTAACTACGCGACGAGGACACCGTAACGACCCGTTGTGCTTACTGACCAGTTGTTCCCCCCCTTCCCCCACCCACCAGAGGACACGCAAGGGTGTGTGTTGTAGTTACTAGGACACAGTAGGTTCGTGAGGTTCTTGTACAGGATTACGGGGCTATTCACGCCCGTGCCACCTTTTGGGTGCTTAATCTTCATCAATCAATCCCGTACAGGATATTATGGTGGGGGATTATATTCACTATAAACACACATTTTTTCACTACACATTCGGGAGTTAGTATGTACAGTGTATACGTGATTTTCGAACAGGCTTAGGTGAGAATATTGTTCACTACATACGCGATCCTTCCGCTGGTTACGCTAAGGTAAGGATTCGCTCTTCCCACGACCATCGGGGTTGACGATTGTCTTAATGTAAGACTACGTAGAGTCGACGACTAAGGTGATTGGAGACTCCCTCGAGGCCCCCCGGGGTCCACCCAGATCCCGAATTTCGTGAGTTATGGAAGCACCTTGCAAGCCACAGCGCCCAAGCGCTGCCGCTTATAGCCAAGATTCTTTGGTTGCAGGCCCACCTCCTTCATGCCTAATTTAATAAGATTCAGTTCATCAGTGTATAATGCATTCTGGACACGCACACACACACACACACACACACACACACACACACACACACACACACACACACACACACACACACACACACACACACACACACACACACGTGTGAATCTGTACACCAGTTGATTGACGGTTGAGAGGTGGGACCAAAGAGCCAAAGCTCAACCCCCGCAAGCACAATTAGGTGAGTACACACATACACGCACGGGCCTCGCGCCAGAGTGGACGTAGTCCTAAGGGTCCCCGGGTTCGATTCCCGGCCGAGAGAGAAACAAGTGGGCCGAGTTTTCACTTTGTCACCCTGATGTTCCTGTTCACCTAGCAGTAAATAGGTACCTGAGAGTTAGACAGCCGCTACCTGTTGCTTCCTAAGTGTGTGTGTATGTGTGTGTGTGTGCGTGTGTGTGTGCGTGTATGTGTGTGTGTGTGTGTGTGTGTGTGTGTGTGTGTGTGTGTGTGTGTATGTGTGTGTGTGTGTGTGTGTGTGTGTGTGTGTGTGTGTGTGTGTGTGTGTGTGTGTGTGTGTGTGTGTGTGTGTGTGTGTGTGTGTGTGTGTGTGTGTGTGTGTGTGTGTGTGTGTGTGTGTGTGTGTGTGTGTGTGTGTGTGTGTGTTAAGAGAAATATATGTTGTAGACTTAATAGAGAAAAATATATTGCTTAGAATGCGCGGAATGCAAGAGGTCAATCCTGCAGGCGTAAAAAGTATACACACACACACACTGTCAGGCCAACGAGGACGGGCCTGTTGCCCAACCGTTTCGGCGCACATGGAGAGTCACAGGTGACGTGGGTGGCGCTGGCGGACAGGTAGAACGCTCATCTGGTAACAAATTATTGACACGCGTGATGGACAAGAAGGAAGTACAGCGTTTATGTATCTGCACCCCCGCTACCTGCCTCACTACACTCTCCCTGCCTCACTGCACTCTCCCTGCCTCACCACACTCTCCCTGTCTCACCACACACTCTCCCTGCCTCACTACACTCTCCCTGCCTCACCACACTCTCCCTGCCTCACTACACTCTCTCCCTGCCTCACTACACACTCTCCCTGCCTTACTACACTTTCCCTGCCTCACTACACTCTCTCCCTGCCTCATTACACTCTCCCTGCCTCACCACACACTCTCCCTGCCTCACTACACTCTCCCTGCCTCACCACACTCTCCCTGCCTCACTACACTCTCTCCCTGCCTCACTACACTCTCCCTGCCTCACTACACACTCTCCCTGCCTCACTACACCCTCTCCCTGCCTTACTACACTCTCCCTGCCTCACTACACTCTCTCCCTGCCTCACTACACCCTCCCTGCCTCACCACACTCTCCCTGCCTCACTACACTCTCTCCCTGCCTCACTACACCCTCTTCCTGCCTCACTACACCCTCTCCTTGCCTCACTACACTCTCTCCTTGCCTCACTACACTCTCTCCCTGCCTCACTACACACTCCCTGCCTCACTACACTCTCTCCCTGCCTCACTACACTCTCTCCTTGCCTCACTACACTCTCTCCCTGCCTCACTACACACTCC